TATATTAGTAATATATTAATTTATCATAGATGTTAAGAAATTAAGAAGATATGAAAAAGAATCTAAATATTTCTTAAATCATAGTATTTTGCGTACTCGTATTCGATAATAACACCATACGTGTTGGATTTCATCTTTTATTTTTATTTTAATAATTTTATTTGTTAATCTAAATAATCTCGATTAAATGCTAAATACATTTCATATTTTTCATGTATAAGTGGTATTTAATTTATTATATAAAGAATAAATTTGAGGATAAATATTAATGATAATATAAAGAAATTGAAGAATTGACGAGAATAAAGTATTTGTAAAGAGTTACATTCAAAAGATCAAATTGAATAAAACATAAAGTTTAGGGATTAAATTACAAAAAGAGAAAATTTATTTTTTAAAAAAAATTAAGTTACAAAAAGAGAAAATTATTAATTAAAGATCAAACTATATCGTTTTAATTTTTAGTTGTTTTGGTTATTCAAACTCAAAATTCGAACTAAAAATTTAAATTTACTTAAATAACTTAAAATTAAAAATAAAATAACATTTTAATCGAATTGCATTTTGTTCTCCCTTTATACGTTAAAATCTGGGGCGATACTACATCCAAGTAGCGATCCTCCCCCCCCCCCCCCTCCAAAATAAAATTTTAGTTTGATCCCCTAAAAGTTGTCAGTTTGTAAACTAGTATAGTGACTGCAAAAATTATAATTCAGTTCTAGCTCATTCTAAAGAAGTTGTTGGCTTTCCCCTAGTTGGAAGAGTATTTTCATTTTAACTAACTAATGATATTATAAGAGTAGAAGATTAAATTATGCCAATTAAAATAAAGTACGATGATAAAACTCCAAATTTTGAACATAGTAAAAGGACTAAAACCAGAATTTGACCTCTAAATTAAAACCTTGATTTAGAAACCTTTTCGGATTCACATGAAGCTCAAATGAAACTATTAGTAATTCATGGGAATTGTTTACTATGTTTACAAATATAATATAAATTAGACCGTTGGGGAAATATTTTCTTTTTATTTGTTTAAATCCTACGTATTAAGAAAATTAACTAATTTAAACTTACTGATTAATAATGAAGAAATATATATTTTATGACAGCTCAAGTCTACCCCTTAAGAAGAAGAAAAAAGAAACAATATGAATCTTTATTTATTTTTTCTCTATATAAACAACTAACATTCTGTTCCAATACCTCCATCTTCTTCCTCTTTTGTTCGTTTCTCAGCAATTGAAGTAGACAGTAAGATCGAAAATGCCGGCCGTGGGAGGAATCGGTCCGGGTACCGGCAAGGAGTACCCGGGTAACCTCACCCCATACGTCATGGTAACGTGTATAGTAGCGGCCATGGGAGGTTTGATTTTCGGTTATGATATCGGTATCTCAGGTAACATAATCAATAAATCAGACGACGATGCATAGAATTATACACTGTCAGTTCGATATTAACTTTTTTTATATATATATATATATAGGCGGTGTGACGACAATGACTCCGTTTTTAAAAAGGTTTTTCCGAAGTGTTTGGGAGAAGAAGGAAGCCGATAAATCGAAGAATCAGTATTGCCAATACGACAGCCAAACGCTGACGATGTTCACGTCGTCGCTGTATTTGGCTGCTCTGTTGTCTTCCATTGTAGCCTCCACTGTAACCCGTAAGCTGGGGAGGAAACTGTCGATGCTCTTCGGCGGTTTGCTCTTCTTCGCCGGAGCTCTCATTAATGGCTTTGCTAAATCCGTTTGGATGTTGATCGTCGGCCGGATATTGCTCGGTTTCGGTATAGGATTCGCCAATCAGGTAAATCATTTCATATGCTGACAAGCAAGTTTGCTCCAAACTCTCTGCTGGTTTTTTGTGTCTAATTATGCTTTGACTTCCTATGCTCTTTAGATGTTTGAATTTTAGTCCTTCTGCTTGTAACTATGGGAATTTAGTGTCTTTATTTGTCTGATTTAAAAATTAGAGTTCGATTGATAACATTGTTAACCGGATTTTGTTAAATTTGAATGAGTTATCAAATATTTGACTATTAAAATATCATATTTAAATTTAATAATAGTGGTCTGCTCACCCATATGAGTTGTTTCAGTTGATCAACTACTCATTAGCACCTTGATAAAAATCAAGATTCGTATCTCTTTAGAAACCCTCAAATGGCATAAACAAACAGCGTAATCAATCGGGCTTTAGGTATCAAACTAGACAAATGGATGGATTAAATTCTTGAAATTAGAAAGTAAAGAGACTAAATTTTAAAAGGTCAAAAGTACAATGACTGAAAGTAGAATTAAACCATGTTTACTAATTTTCTTTAAGCTTGCATTACTTTAGATCTCTATAACTTAGAAGTCAGCAACAAGTCATCGTGTCTGTAGAAGTATAATAAATCATTCAATGTTTATGTTTTAATAACTCTTTAGTTAATTTAGCGAGTTAAAACGTTGAATTTTGTAATCTACGTCTTATATTTTAATATTACAAATGAAAAAATTGAATTGAAAGTTCATCTCACAATAATTTTATATAATATTCCATATAAATTAATCAAATAATAAATTAAATTCTAATATTTATAAAAAAATAATTATATTTTCACTATCATTACTACAGCATACTTTTCTTGGTCAGACATGGGTTGTTTTTCTTTGCGTGACAGTTCTTTCGGCTAAAGTTTACGCCTTGATGATACGGGCGTTGAATAAAAAAACAATAATTGGAATAAAATTGTCGTTGTTTTCTACAGACTACAAGCATGACATTGATGTGTTTTACAATGAAACCTATTTCTGTTTTATTTAATGCAATTTGCACATTAGCAACTTGACAAAGCCAAGTGGTCCCTGAGAAGGACTTTCTTTTAGCTTTGCTTCCCTCCTCAATTATTATTTCTTATTAATATATTTTTTAATAAGTAATTACCTCACACATTTTAAAATATATTTCAAATTGAATATTGAAAATATCAAATTATATCAATTAGTTTTTTTTCGTCTGCTTGTCTACTCCCTTGACGGTAAAATGTCAGCTCAAATGTGGAGTATATTGTTAACATGTATACATGATGAGTTAAACAAATGGTTGTTCTAAATTTTATTAATAAACAAGGAAGGAATTAGAAAATCTTATTAAGAACGAATGAAAGTAATATTCAAATTTTAAAGGTTTTAAATTGAAATTTAAACATTTATTAAATATAGATTGTTCATGCATTATGTATTTTTAATTTGATTCACATGATTTCAAATCGGTTGCATTTCTTATTTAAATTGACATTTAGCGTCTAGTTTGACGTTTAGGCTAAGGGAAAGATTTAAATTCTGGGACTAATTTAGAATTAGAGAAATAGTTCAGTGACAAATGATACATTAACCCTTTGTTTATTTCAAAATTTGACATTTTTCTTGGGTTAATTATTACAGTCTGTGCCACTCTACCTCTCGGAAATGGCCCCATACAGATTCAGAGGAGCATTGAACATAGGCTTCCAATTGTCAATCACAGTCGGTATTCTCATCGCCAACGTGCTGAATTACTTCTTCGCCAAGATCAAAGGCGGCTGGGGGGCGCCTGAGCTTGGGCGGCGCAATGGTTCCCGCCTTAATCATCACCGTCGGCTCTTTAGTCCTCCCCGACACCCCGAACTCGATGATCGAACGTGGCCAAACCGAGGAAGCCAAAGCCAAGCTCAAGAGAATCCGTGGTGTCGACGACGTCGAAGAGGAATTTAGGGACCTCGTCGCTGCCAGCGAAACATCGAAGCTCATCGAGCATCCATGGAGGAACTTGTTGCAGAGGAAGTACAGGCCACATATAACGATGGCGATCCTCATTCCCTTCTTTCAACAACTGACTGGCATCAATGTGATTATGTTTTACGCTCCTGTTTTATTCAGCACCATCGGTTTCAAAGACGATTCCGCCCTCATGTCCGCCGTGATTACCGGTGTTGTTAACGTTGGTGCCACGGTTGTTTCAATCTATGGGGTTGATAAGTGGGGAAGGAGATTCCTTTTCCTTGAGGGTGGTGTTCAAATGTTGATCTGCCAGGTACTTGAAAGATTTCGTTTAACAATTCATTGGTCAGGTTCAATTCAGGTTTAGATTATTTTAAATTTAAAACGTAGACATATTTTATCATATAACTAGATTGAATTTGAATTTCTGATAGATCGAGGGGTCAGAGTTAAAACCTCACTATTGATGCTAAAATGCTCTTTGTTGTTTTTTCAGGCTGTTGTGGCAGCATGCATTGGTGCTAAGTTTGGAATCAACGGGAACCCTGGTGAGTTACCCAAATGGTATGCCATTGTTGTGGTGCTTTTCATCTGCATTTACGTGGCTGGATTCGCCTGGTCATGGGGACCGCTAGGATGGTTAGTCCCTAGTGAAATCTTCCCATTGGAAATCCGATCAGCCGCACAAAGCATCAACGTCTCTGTCAACATGCTCTTCACATTCGCGGTGGCTCAAGTGTTCTTAACCATGCTCTGCCACTTGAAATTTGGACTCTTCCTTTTCTTCGCTTTCTTCGTGCTAATAATGTCTGTATTTGTGTACTACTTCTTGCCGGAGACAAAGGGCATCCCGATCGAAGAGATGAGTCGAGTATGGAAGTCGCATTGGTATTGGTCCCGATTCGTTGAGGACCTCGATTACCCTAATGGAGGTATGGAGATGGGCAAAGGAGGGCAGGGTGTAAAGGATGTGTAAATCCCCTTGGATTTAAATTATCTTTTGTTGTAGCACATACTATTGATTTTCAATGTTGTTTCAGCCTTTTATTGAAGTATAAACAGATCAAAGATGAAACTGAAAATGAAGTGTTCATTTACCTTCACAAAAATAAAAGAAGCAAATATTGTTTTTGTTGGTTCTATTTTTCTCGGATCAAATCCAATTTTACTCACTCTTAACTGAAAGTCTATAAAGCACTTCACCTTACATGACAAGATTCGAGGGGTAGAGGCAAAGAGACAATTACATAAAATTTCAATGACATGATAAACCAGTTTTCGGTCTAAACCGAGTCTACTTTTTCAACCTGTTGTCGAGCAAGGTATCTTTCTCGTCGCTCTTTCTACAGAACAGAAATCGACAGTCATGAGCATTGCGTGTGCCACAGAGGTAAAACATGAGCAAGCAAAATTTTCATCAGATGCTTACGAGAAACAGAAACTTACCCATTCATCTATGACAAGTCCTTCCCCAATAATCCTTGGACCTGCATCCTCTCGAGGCTTTCTGCCGGCCTCGAGAGCAACATCAGCTTCTGCTAACTGGTGGTTCAGTTTTTCTAGAGCCTTCATAAAAGCAAAGCAAAGTGTAAGCAAACTTCTGCTAACTGGTGGTTCAGTTTTTCTAGAGCCTTCATAAAAGCAAAGCAAAGTGTAAGCAAAGGCACATATAGCTGGATAAGATAGGATGGTGCTAACAGTACTTACCGGACCTGGGCGCAGAGGATCGAGAAAAACGACTTGTAATATTTGCTCTATTACCACTTGATCCTTCAGATCATGGAACTGAAAAAACCCGGAACCTAAGCACAATATAATATGAAGAATAATGTATATGGAAAAGCTAGTTCTATATTGACATTATAATATGAAGCACAACATGTCATTATGAAATTAGCTCAGTTAAACATCTAAATGCATCAATGGAATATGATGCACCAGCTCAGATACAAGAGAGAAGATGGAAATCACGAGTCATGTAATAAACACATAGTTTTATAGGAGATGGTTGACGCACCAGCTCGGATATGTAGTCCATTGGACCCTTCACCTTGAGACTCAAGATTTTGAACTTAACCTTGTTCTTCTCATCCATTGGTTTTTCATTGTTCTCCGGAGGCTCCACAAACTTGAAGACTAGTAGATAAATTCAGAACACGAAACAGATTTCATAAGAATCTTTACGAAAATATGAAGAACGTTCAAGAAACAAACCAGAAAGCATAAGACTGCGAAGAAACGATTACCCATTGCTACGATGCTCTCACCAGGGGCAAGAAAGGCGCCCGGTGGGTGTAACACCCCCAACCCGTATCCGACCCGGATCCGATGTGTCACATTGACTTTTCAAAACTCTGTTCTTTACAAATCCGTAAAATCTTAAATTCATCATTTAAGAAAATAAGTACTTTACATTAATAAATACAATCAAATTGTTTTACAAAACCGATCAGAGCATATTCAATTTAAATCTTGTAACTACATGCCAACTAAATTCTATATAACAAAATACATATATTCAATATGTTTCTGATCTGATCATTGTAAGGGAGATGCTAACCTGTCTTGTTCCTCTTTACTTCTATTCTCGCTTTCTAAACCTACGTGTAAAACATTCACACGCTAAGTCGATGACTTAGTAAGACATGTAAATACATATATAAATGAACAAATGTATGCACGTATCATGCAAACTAACATCATACCTAAACCATCATTAACCTGCTTATCCTTACTTATTTTATCATCACTAATTCCTTTCTATCAAATGAGCATATACTTGACATAAACATATTTTATATAACTTCTTAATCACCACCATGCATGAATAATTATTATTACCATATCATGCTCAAACACATAACATCTCATATCACCAATCTTATTCATATTATCATATGATCCTGAAATTATCATTTGCACATATCATATAACACATATATCATTTCACAAGGAATACACATATTATCATAGCAAATTATTTATATTTAAAGCCCATGTACACATCTGAGAACTTAATGTATGTGAGTACATAGAGGTTGTGCACATATGCTGTCACCACAACTCGTATAATTATCACTAGGGGCGCGTAGAATTTGTCCTAAAGGACCACTATGTCCCGAAGGACCACATAGAACACATATGTCCCGAAGGACCACATAGAACACATATGTCCCGAAGGACCTCGTAGAACACATATGTCCCGAAGGACCACGTAGAACACATATGTCCCGAAGGACCGCGTAGAACCATCGACTCTTGGCATGCCAACTATACCCGTATCTCTTATAACACATAACATGAGCATTAATATTTATTTTATCACACTTTCACATTTTCATATCATATACACATATAAGCTCATGGTTTCTTATCACATATATCATGTAAAACTCACTTGGAGTCTCATAACTTCTTATCACCTATCTAATATCACATGTCACATTGCTTATATCTTGTTCTCATATCTTCTCATGAACATATGAACACATAGATACTCATCACATAACTCATACCTCCTTTTTCACATATTTCATTAGTTTAGTATCTCATAAATTATATCATATTATCACGTAGTCACATATATCACCTAACATATATAGTTCATATCTTTTCATTTATCTTATATTTTATCCATTTATATTCATATAAATCACATACATGTAATACATACAAGGCATATTCACTCAGACATGTATTCACACAGATCACATATAGAAATGCACTTACCTTTATCACATGACTCATGTAACTTTTCATGCATATTCATTTAAAACATGTCACATAATGCATATGTTATAATACTCTGATCATGTTTCATAATATAAAATGAATCATGTATCAAGGTATTAAATCTAGACTTATCACAAGTCTAGAACTGAATATACTACTCTAATCATGCTATGCATATTCACTCACCTAGATTTCTTTGTCTTTCACTCGATTGATCTTACTTCCCAAATGTTCCGGAACTTGTTTAGGCTCAGTATCTACATAAATATGATTTCCAAGACGATTATCAGAAGCCTAAACCTTATAATTCAATGCTAATAAATTAAACTAATTTAATGAACCATAATTCATTTTTGAATTAAGTTTTTATTTTGAATTTTAAGCACCCATCATTTTTATTTTCTTATTTATTTATAAAAATTAATATAATTTCACTTCTTGTGAATTCCATCTTGTTAATTAATATTATAAAATTTATTTTTGGAGGTATCGAAACTTTTCGGTTAGAAATCTAAAAAGCTTTAGGTTCTAAAATAAAAAGGTTACTTATTTGTTAATTAAGCCATATATATACAAGATTAGGACATTATACGAGGCCGATGATTTTAAATCAGGAGAAGCTCCAAACGGGAGAAAATCCAGCAGCCCAGTCCAATATCACAATGTCCATTTCAAGCCCACGCCGCCCAATGCCCCACACGTGTGCCATGTCTTTGTGTACACCTCAGCAACAGCCACTGAAATCTCCCTTCCACTCAATACTCACCACCTAATCACAATTTCCCCGCCATTAATTCTCACTTCAATAACCACCACGATTCCCTCCATGGATCTTCATCTCCTCCGATCTTCTCCCGCCGTCCGATTCTTCCCCCGCCGCCCTTCCCCGCCGCCTCTCCGCAGACGGTTCTTCGCAGTTAGGTCTCTCGCTTTCTCTTGGAAGTTTTAATTTATTTACTTCTTTAGTTGACTGATAGTATTTATTTATTTTCTCCATTTCGCAAAATATGTCAGCTCGAGTCTTTCTTTGCGATACCTAGCGAGAAAGCTAAGTATCGCAAAGAAATTGAAGCGGCGGTGGAGGTCGTGGAGAGAGCTTGTAGTCTTTGCATCGATGTGAGTTTAAAATTTGAATATCTCGATTCATATTCTTTTTCCATTGTTTGATTCAATCGTTTGCAGCGTGTTCTAATTCATTTCTTTAATCGTTTTTATTTATTTATTATATTTGAGTTATATATTTTTGTGATTGCAGGTGCAAAGGTCTCTGTTCTCTGATAAAGGAGGGATTCTGGAAAAGAATGACCAAACTCCAGTCACAGTGGCAGATTTTGGAGTTCAAGCTCTTGTTAGTTTAGGTTCTTTTTCCCCCGTTAATTTTGCTTTATTGAACATATTTCACTTTACTTTTGGAATTGAATTTGGCATATTGTGATCAGCTTTCTCTATTGTGGCATTCACCTTTAGAGTTAGCCTTTCCGTTTTCATTCTAATTTTCAGAAAAATATATATGATTTAGCAAGACATCCAAGACAATTGAAAAATAAAATGGTGTTTATTGTTGGATTAACAATGTAATAAAGTTCATCTGATTAGATAATTGAAAGTATGCCTGTGTTGATTCTTTCCTTTTCACCTTAGAGTTGGGCAGATTGTTCCCTTCAATTCCATTGGTGGCAGAAGAGGACTCGGGTTATATACGTTCCAAAAATCTGGTGGATCCTATAGTAAGTGCAGTATGTGATAAAACGAGCTTCAAGGAGAAATCATTTCACATGCTGATGTGCTGGAAGCGATTGATAGAGGGGTAAAGAATGCCTTTGGAACAAAACCCGCCACTTATTGGGTAATGCCTTGGCTATCTACATAAGCTTGTCCGTAAACTACAGTTTTGACTTTTGTTGTTTAAAAATAAGATTTTCCAGGTACTGGATATGCACTTTTTGACATGGTTATGTCCCCAAACCTTATGCAGATACTGGATCCAATTGATGGCACAAGAGGGTTTGTAAAAGGAAGCAAGGCATTATATGTGGTATGTATGTTTCTGTTCAATAAAAATTTTCTTTTGAAATATTCTCTTAATGCCATGGAACACATTGTAAACTTATTCCGTCTAGCTCTGGGGAAAATACTGTCGTATTGTTATTGACTTCTTGGCCTGAATTTACTTGACAAATTTTACTGAGATTGGACAGGATTCAAGATAATTAACAATATTCTGTTACGCATGAATGATGCATTACATTCAGATGAAACATATGGTAGTGTATGGCTTTTTAGTGTATGCTTAAAAATTCTAAAAGATATAGTTCTATACATACAAGTTGAATCTTAAGTCAAATTTTACATTTCTGGTTTTTTTCTCTCCCACCCACCCAAGCAATAGAAACGACTTTTAATAGTTTTTTTTTTTTTTTTGTGATTGCAAATGTGTAAGTAGGGATGGGCATGGGTCGGGTGTTTGGTCCACCTGATCCGAGAACAAGGAGTCATCCACTCGAGACCCGACCCGACCAAAACAAGTTCTCACCCGACTCAAACCCGACCCGATATATAATTTAAAAACCCGACCCGAAATAATAATAATTATTATTTTTATTCAATAAAAACAGTGACTTAATAGAAAAAAATAATATATATAGAGGGGTATTATTGTAATTATTCCTAAATATATAAGGTAAAATTATATATATTTTCGGGTCAGGTTGGGTCGGATATTTTTCACCATAAACCCGAACCCGATTTTTTTTTAAAAAAAAACCGACCCGATCAGGTCGGGTCGGGTCGGAACCCGTCGGGTTCGGGTCCCATGCCCATCCCTATGTGTAAGCCTTGTTCTTGTTGTTAAGTGAATGAGTTGAGCTTTTTAGTGGTTTTTGCTGCCATTTAACACAATCTGGCTGTCACCTGTTGGGCTGAGGGCATATTCTGAATTTTCAGGTAGGTTTATCTCTTGTAGTTGAAGGAAAGATCTTGTTAGGTGTCATGGGCTGCCCTAACTGGGTCGTAGATACTTCCTACAGGTCCACCAATAATGTCCAAGGTTACCCAAATAGTTCTGGATTGGGGATCATTATGGCTGCTCATGTTGGCTGTGGAACTTGGACAAAGAGGTTAAGGTGTATGCTTGATAGCTCAAAAATTTCGTCTGATTGGACCAGATGCTTTGTTGATGGTTGTGGCTTGGTACAGAAAGCCCACTTCTGCACTCCAGAAAGTCAACCATGGGAGTCATTGCCACTATCAGTTTTCTACAAAGCAACAATCAACAACGATGATGATATTGGGGATAAGGGAATTTGTCTTATACCTAGATGTTGCGGAAGGTTTGTTGGCTTTCTATCTTAATGTTTTTCTACTCGTATGTTTTCTCCATGGAGCTTTCACTGAATTGCATGGTATCTAAAGCACAATGCTCTTTTTGTTTTTTTTTTCAATTTGTTCTTTTCATGAGTGAGACTTTTAACATTTATGATTTATATGTTGACGATGTGTGCATGATGTACATCTCTGCTTGTATGCAGTTTATGCAAGTACTTAATGATGGCTTCAGGTTGGACATCTGTTTTCATTCTTCGATATGAAACAGTGGCCAAGGTATAATCTTTGTTTATAGTAAATTGAACACAGAAATTCAGTAGCAATAGTTAACTTACCTTTTCTTTTACATTATAGGTTTGGGATCATGCTTCTGGTATGATATGTGTACATGAAGCTGGAGGAAAGGTACATTTGATACACCCATAGGGTATAATCTTTATAGGACAGAAAAAAACGGCATCGTTTACTGATAAAAAGGCTTTGAGTTTGATATCCTTGTTTTGTTTACAGACCATGTCTTTCATTTGTCCTAGCCTACCTTATTCTTGGTTAAATCTTGTTTTTGTCCAGTTCCCTGTATCTTGCATCACCGTCTTCTGAATTTGCTAACATAGTGCCATGAATTGACATTGTTAATTCAGGTGACAGATTGGGAAGGAAGTGAACTTGATCTTGCAGCCGATTGAGATAAACGGAGAATCATATACCCTGCAGGTGGGGTTCTTGTGACTAATGGCAACATTCATCATAAGATAGTGGAGATGATATTTTCCAGTTCAACAGTTGTTTAACAGTGAATTACGGTGCAGTATGGGACTATGTGCATTCATATTCATTTATTGAATTCGTTGATATGTTCGTTTTTATTTTATTAGAAAATAATAATGAAATTACATGAAAATTAAAAGTTAAAAGTAAATGTTGAATCTGTCAAACCAATGGCTCTTCTAGTAAATTTAGGTTCTCATTCGGACTTTAATTGGAAAAGAATAGTCTGGCTTGGTATTGCTCCGATTAAAGTCGAGGCATTCGTATGGATGGTTCTTCATCGGCAGGTACCGGTCAAAACCGAGTTAGTGAGAAGAGGGGTTATTCTGAATTCAGATAATTCTTGCCGTTTTTGCCTTCTGGTTCCAGAAACGGTGGAACACCTTTTTCTCTTGTTATGAGTTGTGGAAGATCTAGAATTATTATTATGCATTTCGAGATGGTTCAACAGTGTTTAATCAGGATCCCCTTGTAGTGTTGACTTCATGGCATACTTCTTGGGATGGCTCTTCACGATTCGGGATATGATATGGGATCTCATACCTTTTGCTATAATTTGGACGATCTAGATTTTAGAAATGAGATAATATTCAGGGAGAAAACGTTTGACTCCATCCAAATTAATTTTCTGGTAAAACACCTAATCGGTCGGTGGTTCAAAGCAAAAGTCCTGGATTCCTCTGCTTCGTTGGATGATATCATTTGTAATCCTATGGTGGAGGGTGGTTGTGTACTAAGAAAAAGGGCGTCTGATAAATCTTCCTTGGTGCCTTCTCCCTGCCGGTTGTCTTATATTCAACGTTGATGGGGCTTTGAACAGCAATGTGAAATCTGGTGGCATTGGGGGACTGCTATGAGAAGACGTAGGTAGGCATCTTCGGTCCTTTCCGATTCCATTTGGTGCTGGATCCCCAACTTTGGCTGTGACTCTTGCTATTGATCATGTGATTGAGGTCTTTGTAAAGTCTCCTTTGGCTAAAAGGTATAAATTAATTCTTGAATGTGATTGCCATCATGCTGTGGGTCGGGTCCTTAACCCCTCTACATCACCCATTATTTCCAGAAATTTGGTGTAGGAAATATCGTCAAAATCTTTTCGCGCTTGTATTTCGATAAGGCTCATTCTTAGGGTGTGTAATATAGAAGCAGATGCCCTTGCTAAGGAGCCTACTTCAACGACCCTTTTTTGGTTGGTTAAAACCAGGTTCTCATTCCGGTTACACATAAGATGTGTCTTGAATAGCCTATACCTCTTCCGGTTTGATTGTGCTGCTGGGATTTCTTGGTCAAGAGTTTCAGATGGTTGTTACTGCTAGCGTTTTCCTGTACAATGTTTGGGTTGACAAATTAACAAATTATTAGGTGAGATTTGTTATAAAAATTAACCATTAGAGACAATTAAATCTGTAAAAATAAAAAAGTTAAACTTACTAAAAGATAAAATAAAATATATAGAAATATTTTTTTTAAGTGATCTATATATCGGAAACAAGTTGAGGCATGTCGCTACACAATTTCCTTAAGATAGATTTTATATCACTCTTTAGTAATTGAGATCTTTGGTCTTCTATTTTTCAATATACAACTAGTTAATCAGCTACAATAGCACAACTATAAAATTCACGAACTATCTATTGTCTTTGCCTATCACCAGAAAAATAGAGAAAGTGAAAAAAAGAATATTCAATTAATTTGAAGTTCTTCAATTCTAAGATGTGTTTGAATTTTTAAGGTGTTTGAAGTTTTTTATTTTTTATTTGGAGATGTGTTTAACCTTAAATAGAGGGCTCAAAAGTGATTTCTCAAAATATATATATTTTAATATTAAAATTTAAATAGATAGATATCTTTTAATATTCAAATTTAAATAAATAATAGTATCTTTTAACCTGAGATATTCAAAAGATATAGATACCTTTTAATATTCAAACTTGAAGAGATAATAATATCTTTTAATTTAAATATTTAAAAGAATATAATTATATTTCAATATTCAAAATTAAATAGATAACAAACATATTTTTAATTTTAAATATTCAAAAAAAAAATTTCCTGCTAATATTCAAATCGAAAGAATAAATATATTTTAATTTAGAATATGATGAATTTAACATAATTATTAAATTCATCAGTTAATTCACTCATTTATCCAACAGGATTCACTGTTTAGGTGTTATTAGAGGTAGCGTGTGGTGATTGTACTATTTGATTAGGCTAAGGTTTTTGCTACCATGTAGGAAGAATGTTTCGAGCCTTGAATTAAATAAAATGTTTGGGTATTCTTTTCCTTCATTCACGATCTGATATCGATTCTCGATTTGTGTTGATAAAAATACCAACGAAGGTTTTTAATGAGATCCTTTATTTCCTTATAAAAAGAAAAGAAAAGTGATCCACAATGACCCTTTATGATCCCATAGATTTTGACTTTCCAAAGTTTATCCAACTGAAATTTGAAAAGCAACATTCTCCTTGATTTTAGCATTTGTTATCCTTTCCTTGTTCACGCTAACGACTTCAGCAAGAGTTCTGGTTTCACCTGTTAAGTAGTCAAGTGAATCATTCACAGATAAAAGCATTGATCAGAGACGAGAAGAAAAGGGAAAAGGGCAGAAAGATGCAGGGGCGGACCAAAAGCAGATTCCAAGTACCAGAAGCTTTGGCAATGGAAGTCCTCTTGAAGCTCCCGGTAAAATCCCTCGCTCGCTTCAACTGCGTCTGTAAGTCTTGGTGGTCTTCTTTTCGAACCCTTCATTTCACTTCCAAACATTATCATAACAGCCTTGAAAGCAGCAACTTTAATCTCCTCTTCCAACGCTGTAATAGTGTCATCCCTTATTTCACTCACCTCTCGACCGGAAAAGATGAGAAGTCTTTAGTAAAACATGACATTCGATTACCCTTTTTTGAGAACGGTGTCGATTGTCCTCAGGTTTATGGTCCTTGTAATGGATTGTTGTGTTTATATGATCATGGTGATGGTAAGGCTGCCCTTTGGAACCCATCAACCAGGGAGTTTAAAATCCTTCCCCAATCTTCAGCCCGACGCCCTCCTTTTCCAGGTTACACTGGCTTTAAGTGTGTTGGTTTCGGGTATGATTCTGAAACCGATGACTACAAGATCATTCAGTTTGTTACTCTTGTTTATATTGATGAAGAATCCGATTCTTCACCTGTGTATCGGTCCCAAGTGGAGTTGTATTCACTCAAAACCGATTCCTGGAAGGAAGTTGCATCGGTTCCTAATGCTTGTCCATTCAGTAATTACTTGGGCAATAACTGCGTAGATGGAGTTTGTTCTTGGGAAGCAATGATGGAGTATCATAGAGATAACCTTATTCTTTCATTCGACATGGTGAGTGAGAAGTTTTCGACTTCACCTTTACCAGAACTTGATGGGGCTTTAACAAATTACAAGCTTGAACTACTGGAGTTGAATGGATCACTGGGTGTTGTTGTATACCCGAGGTTTGGAACTGAGAAATCATTTGATTTATGGGCTATGGATGGAGGTTGGACAAAGCAGTTGAGTGTTGAATCTATCCCTGGAGTGGAAGAGCCTATGGGGTTCTGGAAAAATGGTGAAATGTTCATTGGAGGATCGGATCATGAGCTGCTCCTGTTTGAACCATACACTCGAGAGGTTAAGAAACTTGGGGTTAAAGCTTATCCGGATGCAATGTGCCATTGCCTTATTGCTTATGTTGAGAGTTTGGTTCCGATCAATGGAAAATCGGAGCACGCGGAACATATAATACGTCGCCCATCTCTAGATACATGAATATGAAGAGGGATTGCGAAATAGAACAAAAGGGGAAAGATTTTATGAGATTTTGGTTTTTTTCCACTGCTATCATATAATTGGGATTGTAGTTTACAACGCAGTTTCGTTTGCATTTAGATGTTGCTGGTACTTCCACCTGCTCTTACATTTCAATCTGGTTGCTGATTGGCATTTGGTTGCATGGCATTCAATTGCCACACCTAAACTGATGTTGAAGATCACAATAATTCTCAATCTTCTTTGTTGCCTTCCTGATTATATCTTTATAGGTCACTGAGACATAATAGTAACAATAATAATGATAATAATGAAGTATAGTATCTTTGAGAAATGCAATATTTTCTTGTCATTCAATTGTTTAATCACAAATAATGTGATTACATGCAGTTTGTACAACAAATATCATTTTAGATTTTTATAAAAAAAAATAAATTCACTCCAAAATTGGATCATTAAGATTTTTTTTTTGTTTCGTCCTTTTAAATGTTTAATGTTGAGTGCTTTAAATTTTTACTATTCGATTTTTTTCTTCTATTTTTAAATGAAACTCAAAGAAAGAGATGTTGTTCCTAGTCTCCGGGTACACCTTCCCAATATTGAAATATTCAAATGGAAGCTTCGATTGTTGATGACCCACCAAAGTAAAAAATGGATTTTTTTTTGGTTGTTTTTATTGTTCTTTTGTTGTTATGGATGGTTATTGTCGTCACCGTTTTTCGTTCGAAACGTAAAAAATAGATGTATGACACGAATTTCGAGGAATATCGATTTTTAAAATTGAATTAATTTAGAAAAGATTGGAGTTGTCATCAACCTTTTGGTTAGGTAGGTCAAATACCCAGAAAACGTTTTTTAAACGAATTTTAGAAAAATCATTTAAAGATGAAATTTGGTCTGCGTTTAACCAGAAATTTATTTTTAAAGATTCGGGAGTCGGTTAAGCGTGGGGAAGGATAAACACCCCAGAGCAACCAACATTGGTATCTCTCGATTATATGTAGTCGGAAATGATGAAATTTTACAAATTTGAACTCGAAATTTAAATTACGATCCTTTTCATTTCTATGATTTTTTAGACCGAGTGAATTCATTTTTAAAATATTTGACTCGATGAAAGATTTAATTCACTCGATTTTATTTAAAAAAATATGTCCTCTTGCTACGTGAATTAACAAAAATTAAAAATCCAATTATGTTGGACGTAATTTCGCTAACTCATTATGAAATACAACATTGCCTTGTAATATTGTGGGAAACAAGTAATCAAATGCATGATCATGAATGCAACTATAATAAATGTAATGTGCAAAACAAATGAAAGAACCACGTAACATGAAAAATAAATAATAAATGATAAAATATAATTTCTATTCGAATAACCCTTAGAATAACACTCCAGATTTTTAGAGGTTTTTCATAGGTTAGTCGAACAATTAACGAAAATCTCACGTCATTTTAAAACATAAAAATGGAAATAACGAAATGAGGACATTAATTTTAAAATAAAATAAATTAAATTGAAATTGCTGACCAAGCGATGATATCAGAAGCCCTAACCCTTAAAACAACGTAGTTTTGATCGAGCTATATAACCCCTTTTTCCTCTTTTTTCACTTTTTCTTTTCTTTCTTCTTTCCTTTCTTTCTCTCCCTCTCCATACTCTCTTGTCTCTGTAGAACCCGACGAGATGTCTCACCGGCCGTCGCATCGCCGTCATCTCTGGTGGCCGTTCGGGCCCAAAATTTTCAACCCGACTCCCCTCTTTGCGGTGGTCACAGACCTACCCTTAGTTTCACGAGAATCAGCCCCCAGGTCCATGAAATAAGTCGAGAACCTCTCAGCTTCCAATGCTCCGATCTCCGCTGTCCATCGTTAGATTGGGCCGATTTCAACATATGTTGCTCCTCTTAACCTCACCGCTGGGATCTGTCGTCTAAAGACTAGATATGTTACCGTCGACGGTAAACTTTTTTATTCTCTATTTTTGTTTTTTTTGTTCGAACTCTCCCCTTTTTTCTCCCATCTCTTTTTTTTTATTATTGCATGTGGTTTTAAATCCATGGTGGCTGGTTTGTTGAGGCAAAAGTGGCAGATGCATTGCCGGCTAGTGAGAGTTGTTGGAAAAGGTATGGTCGGTTGGTGGGAGTTGGTGTAGGTTGATTGGATTTGTTTGAGATTTTTTTATTATTATGATTGATTGATTTTTTTTGTTTGGTGAAATAGGAGATTCAGACAGGCTAAGGTGATCGATGGCGACATGAAAGGGGCTTACGGTTAGGGTTATCTAGGTTAGAGTTTGGGTTGGGTTTGTAATTTGGTTTGAGCTCGAGTTGTTGGATTGTTTGTAAATAAGTCTTGGTTGTGTATTAATAATAATAATAATATATCCCCAAAAAACGGTGATTACATTTATTGTTTTTGGTTTGTGGAATGAGGGGTCAAAAGTATTAGAGGTGATGGTATTGATGGATAATTATCCAGGTTTAACGGTGAAGGAATGAAGGTGAGTGTAGATTTGAGAATGAAGCAATGGTGGGTGAACTCGATTGATCGATGATTGGTTATGATGATAGACAACAAAACATGGAAGGAATATAACATACAATAGAGGAGATGAGTAGTTAAAAGCGGTAATAAAAAAACCTAATCAAATGAAAAATATAAAAAAATTAATAAGATATAAGTGGGTTTCTACATGACTTAATATTGATAAAATAAAGAGAAAATAACCTCAGTGACCAAAAATCCCATATAATATACGATTTTAACCAACTTTTTCCGGATTTGCCAAAATGACCAACAAAATCGCATTGCGATCGCTAATTCGCAACGCGATCTCCATTATCGCAAATTCGCGTTGCATTTTCGCAATGCGATAGTTGAAAATCGCGTTGCGATGGTCTACAGTATCGTTGCGATTTTCCCAATTCGCAATGCGAATAAGTAAATCGCAACGCGAATTGGGAAAATCGCAATGCGAATAAGTAAATCGCAACGCGAATTGGGAAAATCGCAATGCGATACTTACTATCGCAATGCGATAATACAAAATCGCAACGAGATACTTACTTTTGCAACGCGATACTGACTTTCGCAACGCGATTTACATAATCGCAATGCGATTTTCAAAGCGCCATTAGTATCCTGGCCAAGTATTTTATTTTTAAATTCCAAACATGAATATTAATATATTGGAACACTGAACTGTCCACAGTATATCCCGTAATCGCAACTCATAACCTAAAACCTAAAATCACAACTCAGTCCCATCTCCATCTCTCACTCTCTCACCCATCTCCGACGAAATCCGTCCCATCTCCGGCGAAATCCGTCTATCTAAATCTCTCAGAGCCACCCTCACAATCAGAAATGGAAAATCAACCAAATCAACCAACGAGGGTTAGTTTTTTTAATTATTTTCTTTTTGAAATTTTTGCATTATTATTAGGTTTTTCATATTGAAATTGATGATAAGTTTACTGGTAATTTCAATAATAGATTAACCATTTCACTTAGATTGCTTATTAAATCAACCAAGAATCGCAACGCGAAATGCAAATCGCAACGCGATTTTAGTTTCGCGTTGCGATTCTCTCGTTGCAATAGTCATTTTCGTGTTGCGATTACTTCACAGTGTTGCATATTTAAGTTTGAAGAATAAACTACTACTATTTATGTTTATTATTGTTTTTGGTATATCTTCACAGTGTAGTTTTTGGTATATCTAATTTAGTATGTTTATTGTTTTTGTAGAACTTTTATTCGGCTCAATTGACCTTGAGAAATAAAGTCAGCCTGGCCAAAACAATTGCGTCGAAGCTTTCACCTGCACAAAGAAAAATGTTTGAGGATACATGCTTCGGGCCATGGCTGAAAGTACAACATCCCGGTGGAGATGCGATGTTGACACACCTGTTTCTTCAAACCATGACTAGAGATATACCAGAGACTATACAACGTCGTGATGAAGAGATATGGTTTGATTTTCCACCGGCGTATACGTGTTTTGGGCGGGAGGAGTTTTGCTTAATCACCGGTCTACGCTTCGGACACGATGATGTAGGTCGGTACACTAGACACATTACCCGCCCATCATGGCTATCCCGGGTTTTTCCTGAGCTGGAGAGGCCGAGTCTACACGTAGAAGACTTGACAAGATTTTTGAATAATAAAGATGGTTTTACTCGGATGGATGACGTCGACGTTGTCCGAGTATGCCTTCTAATTCTTTTGCATGCCGGCTTTTTAGGCAGAGAGGCCAGACAACCTATTCCAAATGATCTAATCAAATTGGTAGAAGACCTAAATGCGTGGAACCTGTTTCCGTGGGGCTCGTATTTATGGAAAGCTACATGGAATAAGTTATCGTCTGCCTTGGATGATCGAAAAAGTTTGCATGGCGATGGTTCCAAATACACTTTGACAGGCTTTATTTGGGCCTTTAAGGTAAGAATTTTTATATAATGTTTCCAAAATTATAAGTAATTATTTAACAATTACTAATGTTTGTTATTATATTGTTTGTAGATTTGGATATTTGAGGCCTTTCCCGCCATGAAGACATATGCAATAAAAACTTCAAATAATATTCCCAGGGCTATTTCCTGGAAGAGGAAACGAACCTTGCAATGGGAAGATTTACTACGGTATACGACAATAAATAATGCAAGTTAACATAAATACTACCATATGTTTATAAACAAGTTATTACTAGTACACATTTAACTTTGTTTGAGCTTTTATATTATTAGGAGGCCAACACTCCTCTACAGAGGCTGACATCCACGGAAGCTGAGCTTGCCACTGATTGGTGGCAAGCTAGTAAGCGTTTTTTTGATGGAACGGTTGATGAGCAGCCTCCACTTCGGGAGCTATCACCTCGCCCAGAGCTATCACCCCACCCAGAGCCATCATCTGATCGACCCGGCTATACACCTCCACAACGACAGCCATCACCTATTTTGTCACATCATCGAGCCTCTTCTCCACCATCACTG